AAAACCTATATAACCCTTTCTATAAATCCTCAAAAAATACTTATGCTGTAATAATGATTTTAAAATAGCAATTTTTGCAAAATTTTTACGTAAACTATTTTTAGGATTTAAAGAAAGGTCTGAGGTACCTTATGCCAAAATTTCAGATCTCTACCTACCACGTACTACGAATACCAGCCCTTTAAAGTCAACCCTTAATATGTGCAAAAGTGTCAAGAATCCAAAGTACTTATGTACATAGATTTAGAAATTACAATTAAAATCAACAAATTTTGCGAAATTAGTGCGACAACTATTTTTAGTATTTAAAGAAAGGTTCAAGGTACCTTATACCAAAATTGCAGTCTTCTGTCTACCACGTAACACGAATACCAGCCCTCCAAACACAACCCTTAATACGTTCCTGTACAAAAACCCAAATTAAAATCCTAAACAAACCTAAATATGTACTTCTTAAATTAGAAATCAATATTAAAATTAACAAATTTTGCAAAATTAGTACAGGAATTATTTTTAGTATTTAAAATAAGGTTTAAAGTATCACGTGACCAAATTACAACATCATAGTGCCTATCTCTAATTTGTTAAAAAATAAATCACAAGTACACAATGTATTTGATGCAAAATTAAATTGTTGTAAAAAATCTAGCAGGTGTATATGTGATGTAATTATTTTATTAGTTATTAATGTAATTATTTTTTTGGACTGACAGACTGACATGTTGACTGACACCAAAAGTGTCTTCTAGTACTTTGTTAATCCAATTTCGACGAGATCATCAGAACGTCTCAAATCATATCAAACTTCTAAATCTCGCAAATGAGTTTCGCATTTTGGCAAAAGAGGAAATTAGATTTCCCAAACTAAACATCAACCCGAAACAGTTTAAAGATGTTATCAGTTAATAAGATCTTGTTTTGCATTTAATAATAATAATAATAATAATAATAATAATAATAATAATCGTTGTAGTTGTTAGTTGATGCGAAATTCAAAGAGTACATATGAAGGTTTGTATGGGATTTTAGTTTGGTTTTTGTACAGGGACGTATTAAGGGTTGTGTTTGAAGGACTGGTTTTCCTGGTACGTAGTAGGTAGAATGCTGAAATTCTTATACAAGATTCCTCAAAACTTTCTTTAAATACTAAAAAGTAGTGTGTCGTACTAATTTCGCAAAATTTGTTGAGTTTAATTGTAATTTCTAAATCTAAGTATATAAGTACTTTGGATTTTTGACACTTTTGAACATATTAAGGGTTGACTTCAAAGGACTAGTACTTGTGATACGTAGTAGGTAGAGATCTGGAATTTTGGTATAAGGTACCTTGAACCTTTCTTTAAATTATAAAAATAGTTGCCGTAATAAATTTCCCAAACTAGTTAGGTTTAATTGCAATTTCTAATTGAAGGAGCACTTAAGTAGCTTAGATCCTTGACACTTTTGGTCATATTAAGGGTTGAATTCAAAGGGCTGGTATTTGTGGTGAGTGGTAGGTAGAAAATTGGAATTTTGGTATAAGGTACCTTGAACCTTTTTTTAAATACTAAAAACAGTTGTCGTACTAATTTCGCAAAATTTGTTGAGTTTAATTGTAATTTCTAAATCTAAGTACATAGATACTTTGAATTCTTGACACTTTTGAACATATTAAGGGTTGAATTCAAAGGGCTGATATTCGTATTACGTGGTAGATAGAAAGTTGTAATTTTTGTATAAGGTACCTTGAACCTTTCTTTAAATTCTGAAAATAGTTTACGTAAAATATTTGCAAAATTTGCTCTTTTAAAATCATTATTTTAAACCTTGAGCATTTTTTGGGCTATAGAGTATTTATTCCAAGGGTTAGTATAGGATTTTGAAGGCATGGTATTTGTGTTATGTGGTGGGTACAATGCTGGAATTTGGCTATATGGTACCTTAAACCTTTCTTTAAATTCTAAAAATAGTTTACGTAAAAATTTTGCCAAATTTGCTGTTTTTAAAACCGTTACCATACCAACAATGTTTTTATGTCATATAGATTGTACAAAGGGTTTTCTTATAAGCAAATAAAATTAGAATTAGGCACTATGATGTTGTAATTTGGTCACGTGAAACCTTAAACTTTGTTTTAAATTCTAAAAATAATTTCCTCCAAAAATTTGCAAAATTGTTCGATTTATAGCCATCAGAATAGAAAAAGTGGTGTATTTTATATAAATTATCAAGAGTGTTTTCTCCTAAGCAAAACTAGCTAGAGTTAGGCACTAGGATGTTGTAATTTGGTAACATGATACCTTAAACCTTGTTCTAAAAACTAAAAATAGTTTCAACCCCAAACTTGCAAAAATGTTGATTTTATACGTGTTTTTAACGTATGGCAATCACAATAACAAGTTTCCTTTACCTAACTATATTTTACTAATGGCGCAAATAAATTGGCGCTAATTTTAACTTATTTTATCTTTATGTGTGTTATTAGAAATTTTTGAAAAATGAATTATTATAAAAAGATAAATGGCAGTGTGTTCAGCTTTTAGTTTTGTTAATTATTTAGGACCATTTTTTAAATATATTTTTTTTCACAATGAATAAACAAAAAAATAAATGAATAGTTTACCCACTGCAAAGCACGCTACATATAAATGTTCCTGAACCATATCAATAGTTTTTGCAAGGCCTAACCTAATTTGAAACCGATTCAATTTCAATTGAATTGGCACATTTGAAGTTTCAAGATTTTGATATATTATTACAGCACTTTTGAATTATTTCATTAATTGTTGAATTACGAATCAAAATGTGATAATTTAAATTGTTTTGTTATTATGTGCCATACTAAATGAATTTACTGAGATTGAAAAAAAAATTGAGAGAATAAAAAATTTGACAGTTTTGCCCTAATTTTGTATGATACTTATAGTTGCTTATCAAAAACTATTGTATCCTTAGATTTCAGTATTCAATCTCTTTCATTTTTTTGCAAAAATTGCTCTTTGTGCAAACGAGTTTATCAACTCTGTACTGTTTGTGCGCATCGGAAAATGTTTATGCAACGGGAAAATGAATTGATAAAAATAAATACTATTTTGAAGTAAAAAAGTGTTGTATGTATTATGTGAATTCAGCATTAAAAAAAAATTAAATAAAAAAATTGACCCCAAAATTAACAATGAATTGGGGTTGGACAACCCTTAGTAATAATAAATTTTATTTGGCAATAAGATTCAAGCTTTTTCTTTAAGCTTAAAAGTCTGAACTAAAATTATGTTAAAAATATTAAATGGCTGAATGGATAAAAAAATGAATAACTAATATAATAGGGGTTGGTAAACGAAAAAGTAAAATATCAGGGTTGTGTAATAAAGTAAATTGAAAGCATATATAGTACTTCATTAGTTAATTGTTGAAAATATTTTTTTTTACTGAATTTTATTATTGTATTAAAATTTTTGAAAAATAAAATAATATAAAAAGGTGAAGGGCAGTATGTTCAGATATTTATTTTAGGACAAAATATTATTTTTACAATAATAATACTAAATTGTATTTTGAAATAAGATTCAAGCTTTTTCTTTAAACTCAAAAGTATGAATTAAAATTATGTTAAAAATATTAAATGACTGAACGAGGGATAAAAAATTATTGGATTATTAAATTGGATATAGAAAAATAGGGGTTGGTGATAAAAAAGTAAAAAATCAGGGTTTGTGTGTATTTTGTAATTTTACATTATAAAAAAATATAAACAAAAAT